CACTACCGTAAATTAACTTGCCAATGATATTTGGCTGTGCTGTTTTATTGTAAGTAATAATGAAATAAGCCTTTTGTATATTTGACATCATTAAAATCGTTTTCCGCAGCTCCATCAGGTTTTGGTGCAGCTTCAGTCTGGAGAGAAGGAGCAGGATTTCTCTCTCTCGCCCATCCAGGTGTCCATCAGCGTGCAGCTCTGGAGGCTTCCTGGCTGCCATGAGTTCCTGGCCGCTCTGGGTAAGAGCAGCTTCAGCACATGAGTACTGATCGAGATGCTGTAGTCCATGCTGAGGACTCAGTCTTTCTCTTTCTCTCAGGGTTTGACCTGTGTGAGGTCGGTCAGGAGGAGGTGGCGTTGAAGACGGGCAAACAGGCCAACCGTCGCACCATGCACTTTGCCCTGCAGTCGCTGCTGGCACTGTTTGGTGAGCATCACTTCACCCTCACATTGTTGATCCCAACAACAAAACCGATTCATTCATTTTTTTATTTTGTCATCAATACTAAAGACAACAAAAGGGCTGTTTCAATAGTATTAGCTTCAATAGTAGCTAATATTTCAGTGTACTCACTGAAAATGTTTTTCAGAAGACAAGGCAAGTTTGTTTATATAGCATATCTTACACACTGGTAATTTAAAGTTATTTACATAAAATTGATTTAAAAATAATAGTAACAGTGCATATGCAATAAAATTCATCTGTTATTTTTAGAATTGTTATTTTCAGGGAATGGACTAAAATGAATAAATTTGACATTATACATGTAAAGGCTTTTTTTTTTTCAAAAGACAATGACTATGGCTTAAACGGGGTTAAAAAAGAACGGGGTGAAAAATATATATTCTATATTTCCATCATACGTCATTACAATACTGATAAAAAATCACAATATTTTTCAAAAAATGCAGTGTGTTGTAATCATTTCACAAAATATATGTTTTCATTTAGACAACAGTACTCTATTTACCACTAACATATAGGTAAAACAATTAAAAACTATTTTTAAAAAGTTATTTATTATGCTAAAAATCATTATTGCTATTTTTCCACCAATAAAACTTCAATATCTATAAATAAAACTTCAATATCCTAAAAACAATAAATAAAATGTTACATTTTGACTTATTTAAACTCTTGACTAAAAAATGACTTTAAAATTTTTTTATTATTAAATATTAATCATTAAATTAATTAATAAATAATAATAATGTAATTAAGTTCATGCCATTAATAATCACTATTACTATTTTTACTGGAAAAAAATGATATAAAAATATCTATACTCCTTTAAATATATAACATGTTATATATAACATCTGACTTTGTAATAATTGCACTGTAATGTTTTCCTCAGACTCTACTGAGCTGCCGAAGCGCCTGAGTCTGGACAGTTCATCGTCTCTGGAGTCTCTGGCTTCAGCACAGTCTGTGTCCCACCAGCTACCTATGGGCTATCCCAACCCTCCCTTCTCCCCTCCATGTCCTGACAGCCTTGCCTCTGACGCCATCTCAGTCTACAGCCTGAGCTCCATCGCCTCTTCCATGAGCTTCCTATCCCGTCCCGAAGGCACGTCCGACTTCATCAGCCAGCGCTCGCGGCAGCAGGAGCTAGAGCGGCATCGGGGTGGAGCCGGGCTGTTCGCGTCCCACCGGCACACGGCGGTGCCCCGCAGCCGCTCGTCCCCGCATGGAGCCGTAGGAGGGCACGATGATGAAGAGTATGAAGGATACAGTATAATCAGCAGCGAGCCGTTGGGTAGCCAATGCGACACGCTCCCTCGTCCTGCAAATCACAGGAACCATCGGGGCGCTGCACGCGGCGGGACCGGCAGGGGTTACGCAGTGTCTGTGTCCTCTAGGGGAAGCGTCAGCACCCCGACGTCTCCGGTCAAAGCCACCCTGGTTCCCAGTCCCAACTCGCCCTTCCAGAAGGTCGGGAAGGTGAGCAGCTCAGACACGGGCGAATCCGATCAATCCAGCACAGAGACAGACAGCACTGTGAAGTCCCAAGAGGAGCGTACGCCCGGAGCCGCTCTGGACCCACAAGAACTGGCGCAGAAGATCCTGGAAGAAACGCAAAGCCACATGCGGGCCGTCGAGACTTTGCAGAGAAGCACTGGGAGCATCCCGCTGGGCGAGGGGATGGGCGGCGGAGGCCCCCCGACCCCAACTGGAGGTTCTGCTTTCCGTTCCTCGGAGACGAGCGCATTCAGTCGCCCTAGTAGCCGGGCAAGCATCAAGGCACAGTCGTCTCCGCTCCCGACGCGCCCCAAACCGCCCTCCCGTACGTCGTCCCTACAGAAGGTCAGCTCGGGATACAACAGCCCCGCTACGTCCGAGACGTCCCTAAAGGAAGGCAGCCAACCGTCGCCGACTTCCGACAGTCATGCCCAGTTTAAACTCAAGTATCCCAGCTCGCCCTACAGCGGCCACATCTCCCACTCGCCTAGCAACGTCTCGCCCAGCTCGGGCCACCAGTCTCCGGCCGGCAGCGCACCCTCTCCGGCATTGTCCTACTCCTCAACAGGCTCGACGCGTTCCAGTCCGGCGGACGCTCCGGATATCGACCGACTCAAATTGGCCGCTATAGACGAAAAAGTCCAAGCGATCCACAATCTCAAGACTTTCTGGGCCAGCGCCACCCAACAGCAGCACTCTGGACCAATGCGGGCACTCCGTGGTGGGAAACTGAGCACCGCCAAAAGAGATGTCCTGGGTCTTCTGAACCTCTCGCCCCGACACGGCGTGACGGGACAGGATACACCTGGCCAGGATGTGGCGCTCGAGCACAGAAATCCGCCCAACGGCCATCGCAAGATCGATTCCAAGAGAGTCACGCCTTCTCCGACGGCGTCCACTGGCAGCAGTCCAGGGTCACATCCCATCCGACTGCCTTCGGGGAATGGATACAAGTTCCTGTCGCCGGGACGGTTCTTCCCTTCGTCTAAATGTTGAGATTATGTCCCTCAGTGACTGGCTTCTCTTGATAAAGGAGTATTTTGAGTATTTATAACTCTTGAAAACAGTGAAAAGGACAGTCTGGGTGAGGAAGTGCACATTCCCAGAAGCCTCAAACTGCCTACTGTTTAATTTTCCGTGCAGAGAGCATATAATCCTTATGCTTCCACCTACACTGTAAAGGACCGTTTATACATGCAGACTGATCTTAGACTTGCGCAAGGCATGTCAGACAAAAAAAAGATGAGATTATACCAAAATGGTATTTCAAAAAAAGACAAAAAGGCTCGCTGTTTGTGTTAGTGAAGATGATGCGGCTTTGACTGGTTTTCTTTTGTTTTTTCCATTTTTTATTTTTTTTTTATATAATTATTGTTATTGTTATTATTATTATTATTATGGATGGTAATTGTTATTACAGTTATTTGTTTTGTAAATTAAATCAACGTTTTGCAATCAGTATTATACGTTTTTATATTGTTAAAGAAGCAAACCATGCACAAAAAAAGTTGAAAAAACATTTTCATATTTTTATTGAGATGGTGGCGACGCACCTGACCTGACTTCTATGTGAATTGAGTGTCAGTATTACAGCATGGGTTCTTTTGCTCTCCAGTGATTCAGTGTCTTTTTAACAGAGATTTTGCATATGTGGACTCTCATCCAGACATATCTCAGTCATTTCTCAGTAAAATGGTCTCAATAAAAAATTTAATTTACTCTCTTGTGGTGGTGGTCTTCTATTCATTTTCATATTAGTATACAGAATAGAAAGATTATAATAGCTTCAAAAATAAAAAAATCCAGGTATAATTTTCCAAATAAATAAATGATTGATTTGTAACTAACTATTTTGATACAAATCAATTTTAAAAAGTGCACTTTCCACACAGTATTTTTAAATAAATAGGTTTAATGATTACAAATGGTTATTTTTTCATATTTCTAGACAATTGTATCCCTATATTGATTCAAAATTCACTATATTCATAAATGTTTGTTCAACAAATACTATCTACATATACTACATACAACAAATACTAAATACTATATACAAGTACCTCCGGTTACCTTCAGCAAATATGGACTATGTTCTTTGGTCAGATATAGGGACAAGGCCCATTGTAGAAATCTGAACATTAGTATTTGTATCTTACAATGCAATTAAGTCAAGATTAGTCACTGAATGAGTATTTTAGAGTGCAAATTATTTCTCAAATAAATGGAAGTGACATGTGATAATCAATATGCAGAGATAATAGTCATAAATAATTGGAGTGTTATCCGACAGAGAGCCACTTTTCAGTTTTAAGATTTCTGTGCTATGTCGTTTACGTATCAGTATTTTGTGCAGGTGAGTTATTGGTTCTTAAAGGGGTCATATGATGTTGCTAAAAAGAACATTATTTTGTGTATTTGGTGTAATGAAATGTGTTTATGTGGTTTAAGGTTAAAAAAACACATTTTCCACATACTGTACATTATTGTTTCTCCTCTATGCCCCGCCTTTCTGAAACGCGCCGATTTTTACAAAGCTCATCGGTCTGAAAAGCGAGGTGTGCTGTGATTGGCCAGCTATCCAGTGCGTTGTGATTGGCTGAATACCTCAAGTGTGTGATGGAAATGTTACGCCCCTACCATACTGTGATGCCCTGTCCCGGCCGGAGCAACGAGACAAAAACATGAAAAGCCATTATAAACGAGGCATTTGTTGCATCCAGTGGGGACATAATTACGGATAATAATGACTTATACTGTCTTTTTACGTGTTGTGTTGCATATCGCGCCGCATAAACATAAAACCATTTGTCTGCATTTGTGATCGGAGAAATGACAAACAACAAG